AATAAACTTATGAATGTTTGGGAACTGGCATGCGGCACGGAATTCTACTATCGTGTAAGAAGACTATTCACAGACCTGACTTTTGACTCCGGAAAATGCACGCATGGAATTCAAGGGCCAATATGGCACTTGGTCGTCTTGAGAAGCGCGTCTAGGCAATTGCCACTTGAGCGTAAGAAACAAACTGTTGTGGATCGGGCTTTTCCGCTACATTTGCTCGTCTGCAGCCTATTGTCGGTACGTTCCGATCCTCCTTTCAGTATCCGTGCAAAATCTTCTGGATGAGATGGAATTCCCAAAACCAAATTCCTTGAGAGACCAAGTGCCGTTGGAACTAAGTGAGGCTTTCTGCAAAACCTAACTCGTTTACCAGATCACTTGAAACGGATAGCCAAAACTCCAGTCCGTAAACAACTTGTCTACCGTCATATGAAGACCGGAATTTGTAATGGTGAATGCCCTAAATTTCGATACTGTAACAGTCTCCAAATAAATTTTCATGTAGAAAACAACTCACAAGTCTGCTGAAAACTCTGGCGTCACACAAACGGTTCTACCCTTCTTGGGGATCATCAGGTAAGCGTAGTTCCCAAATTTCCATCAACCTTATGCTCTACTTGGATCCAAAATTGTCTTGAAGATCTTCTATCGTTCGCCTCATTATTCCATCAATGGTCAAGTTGAACAGTAATGGAGAAGATCAGCAGTTATTGTAGGAAAGCGTTCAGAGAGCGCACTATGCAGTCCCACATGACTCGAAGTATGTGAAAAATAGGGACTGGATCGTGTTCACAAACTTCTTTGGCACCCCCTGTTGAGCAAGTGTGATTGAGAGTAATTCATAGCTGTCTTTTAACAGAGCAGATGACAAGCCGTCGTGAATGGGAGCTCAAAGTTTGATGTAAACCTGGACATTCTGAGGCTGAATGAGGTTCCATATTCACGGGACATTTTTCTGATAGAGGTCTGTGTCCATACTGGAGGTAGCACATGACCGGGTGATTTGTTGTTATCAGCTACGATACTGAATTTACAAGTACTATGCGGTTTAAGCCCTAAAAAACTTAGCATTTGATAGCATTGTTATCAAAGATATTCCAAGAGAGGTCAGTTAGTGGAGAGCCTGGGTTCCCACCACACCGAACTCGTATCCAAAAGGACACAATACGCCGTTTTTAGTTCCAGGTCTGCTCTCTTTTGTTGCTCCAACGCGTAACTCCCATGCAACATTGGACCAACCAAGCATTTGAAGCAAAGCAAAGATCACTGACACCTCTCTCACTGGTGGCCAATATTCCTGATGTCACAAAACAAGCTAGTGAATGAATCGAAATTCATTGTGATCACATTGAACTGTCCATTTCCGAGACTGACCCATAAGAATACGCTTGACGAAGCCTCCCGTAACTCTCTGGAAGGTTAAACTTCATGCAGCCTATTTTTGGCTGGCTACGTCCGCTCGCTTACAGTCCAAATGGATGCACCCACGCCAAAATTGACTCATATCCCAGCAACTCAGTTCTGAGCACAATAACCACAATAGAACGGACGCATGGAATAACCTGCTCTCTAGGTAGAGACGGACACTACACTTCATAAAACAATTCGAGATCTGTCTTAGAATCCGGATTGAAGGTATGCCCACGAATATTTACGAAAATATGGTTTCTGTGAGGGATTAGAAGCTGTATATCGGTGTAGGCGGTTCTGAGGGTCAGCAGCTCAACTTCTTTTAAATCGAGGGTTTGTCTTTCCAGACTTTTCACCTTGTCCTTATCCATGACATCCAGTTACGTTTGAACCTACTGAGGATGGGATCAACAATGAGATCATAATCATTATCCCTTATCAAGACTGACATAACCTCCTTTAGGAAACTGCTAGAAATGTTGAAAACCTGAGCATAGTCCCTAAATTTCTAAGGCTACAACCACTGGTATACGGTTGCTCACCATTTCCGACTTTCTACTCGAATGCAACAAATTTGTTTTAGATACCCGGAGTTGGATGGACTTTTTTGCCAAACCCTTTCACATTTGACACTGTACGTGTGTGATGTGTTAGTTTTGGCCATTCAAGCGGGTTCTAGGCCTCGAATTGTAACGAAAACTGCATGTCCCTCCTTTGACTTCTGGTCCCCATCCGTGTATTCCCAAGTCAAATTTTGCCACGCATTTCGGGAAAGATCCACTGCAAGTGACTGAGTTTCATAAATTGACGTTCTGGGAGTGCTTTCTGTTGTTCACGCCCCTCTGTACATTCTCTTTCTTACATCGCTTTTGTTTTTTTCGTGTTCGCGGGCAGTCATTCCACCTATGTAGTCTTATAGATTAGAGTGCAGATACGACACACATTTATTTTCACACAGATCACTTGTCGTGACTATAAGACCTTTCATTTCCAGAACTCTGTAGTGTCTATGGTCAAAGATCATATAAGGTTTGGTTTCCACTCCACAGCGAGTCTGTCGAAAGAATAGAAAGGATCGACAAGTCATGCTACACATGAAATTTTTGACACCGCAATTAACGAGAGCAACCTCAATACACACAATAGTTTTGCCGGATTGCACGATAATTAACAGGGGAGTGGTACATAAACCATGGTCCGGTGAATAGAAGGATAATGTGCGGAACGACCAAGGTACGTACCAAACCTTTCGCGCAATGTCCAGCCAGGCCCGGTCTGCTTTTCATTAGTCAAGTCTATCTTCCTCCCTATTCAGGAACTCTGATTATTCTGCGTGATTTAGTGCCTCGACGATGAGCAGATCTATCCAGAATTTCGACGCGTTTATACCAGTGGATGTCGTGAACTCGTGTACGTATCTTCACTTTGCGGTGTATGTGATTCGGTAAGAGATGTGGTGCGGAAATACGTATAAAAAGGAATCATCATGTGCACAGGAGGCGCAAATGATCATTTCTGCAGCATATCGGCCCTTTGTTCGTGCCGAATTTCACCGACAACCTGAACATACTGTGAATAGCATTTTTTTACTGGCAGAAAAAATATCCAGTCTGCCTGTTAGTCATCAATAACAGATAAGAACTAAAAGTTTTGCGAACAGTCAAAGCACGAATTAACATAAATAAACAAAAAGAGGACCATCGTTTGGTCCCATCCTTCTATCTTTCAAGACTATTTCAGTTTAACTGGTGACCGTTTGTGTTCACTGAGTGCCGGAAATTCTAATGACTAAAAGTAGACGGATAAGTGTTGTACATCAGCCACCATAAAGCACATTTCATCCCGATGCCGGTCAACGGATCACCCACTCTGGCTCCCAAACGCACTCGCGTGGTGCGCCTGTGTAAACAATGTAACTAGAATGTCCAGCTCATGCTCTTCTCGCAGATCCACTGTCTACTAAACTGGAGTCAGAGTTACCCTCCAGTCCATTTTCAAAGAAGCACAGAAGAGACTGAATCGAAGGCAGGTAATGATTCCAGAGTCAGCAGTCACATATTCGAAACAACTACAAATGCTTTAATACACAAGGACAGCTCGTGTAAGGCCATTCATAGTGGTGAATATAAAATAAGGCACCTACTGGGATTTGCCAAACTGCACCGACCATGAAGTGCACGGGAGAGGTAAATCTCTGATGAGTAACGGAAACGAACGGAAAACAATGCACCAAACTTTAATTCCAAGACAGTCAGTCACGCCACGCGATTGCGCGAGCGTGGTGGTGAAATGGCAATTCTGATACCAGTTCATACGACTTGTACGAATCACTTATCATATGCATTTCACATCCAGGTTAGCAGAACTTGGGTGTCCCTAAACGGTTGAAATTCAGGGAAGTTTATCGCAAGAAAAAGTTGTAACATACTCGAGATGAGTTTTCAAATTAGCCAGCACACAAACAGGTTTCAGCTGTTCTCCTTACTTGCTTGGTGGCTCCTACCAGAGAAACGATATTTGTGCTTCTCCGTTCTGACCCAAGGTTCCCCAGATAAAACTGCAGATTTCCCCTGCAACTACTCTCGGGCGGATAAACGAATAGCGCTAATGACAAAGTTTCCAGATTTCAGTTACGACGATAGTATATATTACAAACTACCAACGTAGCGGACAAAAGTTAGTGATACATCGTTGGAACTGTTGCACCGGAGTAGGCGGACCGTAACCATCCTCTTGACATTCATCCTGGAACATAATTTGCAACCGCACGTTCGTGAGCTTGGTTAGACGTTATCGGAAAAACAGTTTTCAGGAAGAGGTCGGAACGACCAAAATCTCATTGAATGTGTATACTTTACCATGTGAAAACAAGATGAAACCGGACACGTAAATTCATCAACATAACATCGCCGAATCAGTCGGTTTAGGTGTAAATAACTCGGGAAATTGTTGGGAAATAACCAAGAAAAAAGGACTGACGCTCGTCGAGTACTCTCCCAAAACCGGGGTGGAATAAAGACACCGTGAGCTAAAAAGCTCAAAGGCTGTTATAAGACATTCCTTTCACCAGTCGGTTTTCTACCTCATTAGCTATTCCGTACCGGTAACTATGCAGCGGGCTTAGAAGTAACTCGTGTTCAAAAGCTCTCCAAACCATGAGGGTTGTATCTAAATTAGCTGCACCTAGTCCTTTTGATGTAATGTACCTAACAATGATCTTTGGCTTGTTCAATGAGCTGGGCAATCTGATTGCAAACGTTTCATCACCAATCGAGGTGACATTATCAATGCGTTATTGGGGAGCGTAGTGGTGGATTAGTGGTTGTGCCAACCACGGGATAGCAGAGCAACCAACTGCTCGATCAAACCGCGATCAAACTAATCGCGGTCAAAAGTCATCCCTGGCTAGCTGCACGTATATTAGCACACACGTACCATTACTCAACGCACAACCACTAACCCACCGCTACGCACCACCGCGCTCCCCAATAACGCACTGATAATGTCACCTCGATTGGTGATGAAACGCTTGCAATCAAATTGCCCAGCTCAGCGAACAAGCCAACGATCAATTACGCCACCTGAGCTACCAACGTTTTCCTCGATAGAATACCTAACAACCAAAGATCAATTGCATCCGTACAAAGAACGACCACGTGTTACGCGTAAACCGTTATGTAGCAGTCTCGCACATTTTACGGACAAACTGTTTCAAATGAAGCATATGGTGACGTAAACAGCTACGTCTGATATGGTGTCACTTTCATACAAACAACCTTGTCTGATCAGTCCCAAAACCATCGTTCAAGTAGCAACATTTGTAATGATAGAAATCAAAAAAATCTCGACGGTTCACCATAAAATGAAAGATTGAAACTGTTTGGCACATATCCAACACGGGCAAACGAATGAAAGTATTAGAGAACTTTTCCCGAGGACAGTAATCGGGTTACATCAAACAGGTTCGAAGACGTATGTGCCGGTGCTCGATCTGCTATGTAGTTTGAGTGTGTAAAGAAAACTGTGTACATTCAAGCCGGATAGACAAAAATTATCAACCGATCAACGAAGGAACAGATGCTGCTCCCCCGATGTTGTATCACAGGACATGTTATGGACAGGTATGCAGAACGTGAGCGGAAGAAGTTAGACCGCACAGTTGGCAGGATTATGTGGTACGTCCGCATTAGGAATATCCGTATAAGGAACGGTGTGTCGCCGAAGGTGTTTCGTCAGGTGGTCACTGCGGCTAAATCGTCGCGGGCACCTTGGACATATGAAATTTCGCTCTCCGGTATGTGCACGACGATGCCTTGACAATTCATCTGACCGTGCGAAACGTCGACCACATAGTGGCCAGTCACAGACATAGGGTCGTTCGCCTGAAATGAAGAAGACTCAGTGAAACCAGGAGGAAACCACCGACCTGAACAGCGTTAGGGTTTAAGAAAAAATTTTCAAGAACGGCCAGTCAGAAACAATGGATGGTGTATGGGAAAACGGTTAGTGAAGCTGTCGGCTACTTCTCAACAGCCAGGCGATTGAGGTACGGACGTTTACAGACAGTTACCGACGCCGTCGGAAGCAAATTTCACCAACACCTAGAGTTGAAGTACGAACTACCTTTCGGTTGCAAAACCTAGCCTTACTAATCAGAAGATCCTACAAGTCTTCAAGGGTTTAATCACCAGCATATCTGGGGCAAATCAGAATTTAACTGGCTTTACCGTGTCTGACACGAAATGGTGCCTAAACGGGTATGTGTTTACGAGACCGAAGGGCAAATTAATGTCGTTGGGACACCTACCAAGCATGACTAACACCACATACCAGATAAAACTCTGTTTTCTTCCCTAAAATATCGTTGAGAAAAGGATCTCGGAAGAAGAGATATGGCACACAGCATGGAATGAAAGCGGATGCAGTCAAACTGAGTACTGTGTGATCTTCGCATCTTCCTGACCAGAGCCCACATGAGGCTCCTCGCGTAAGCCCGGAACCCTTATAGGTTACGACATCCCAGCATCCAGCATGATGCCATTTCCTGGCAGGACTGACTAGATCAAATTTGACTGTCTTTGGGCAATAGCTCATAACGAATGACTCTCAAAGAGGGCACTGCGACAATCTGGTCGATGCAGTCTCACGCTAACGTAATGCTTAGATCTGTTAATTCAATGATGATCAAGCATGCATACATTCATTCTGGATACTCTCACTTAAGGACAGAGAACTCCCTTGCAGTACGTTGTACTACACCGCATGTATCGCATCGTACCTATGTTTTCGACGATGGTGGTGACGATCATTGAGATGTCGACGGTGAGGATGATGACGATGTAACAACGGAATGAAAAAATGTGGCTACTGTTGAGCACCACTGTCAATTGTGACCGCGAAAGACTCCGTGCGGTGGTCTGCATCGGCTTTGAGCCTTCAGTGGTGACAAGAGAATTGGGTTTGCATACCTACGCATTAGAGCCGACAAACGGCGTGAATTTGAAATATACAGTCGCTGATCAGGGTTTGTAGGTCTGATTGAAAAATGGCACAACAGAAGCTCTTTACACCCTGCCTCTTTAAACTGAACAGTTTTCGTCATTCTGCTGGTCAACAGCGAAGTTGGATAACAATAGGATGAAAAATTTGAATTTCATAATGAGAAACTACACTTAGGAGTCCACCAGAATGTGCCAACTCTAACTGTATCGATCCCTCCGACAGTGCCGTTTCGGACAGGTACGTTCTGTAGTCACTGAAGGTAGATTCCGCCGTACGAGCCTGTGGTTCAAAATACGACATACGTAAAGACAATGACTAAATGTTTTAGCATTGTCGTACTCCTCACTTTGAACAAATTCGAAAGCCTATCACCATCATATTAAGTATGATTAAGACAAACGAATGGTCTGATTGATGGTCGTCTGGGTATTTACATTTTCAACTACGCTGGCTAGATGAGGCACACCTCGTTTTCGGTTACGTTCTGGAATGCATACGACTGACCGTGATATGAACGTGGCACACAGCTTTGTCTGTACCTGATTTCACGTGACGACGTTCATGCGTCATTCTTGCGTATACGTGCGCAATATACCATTATTTCCATTTTTTGTAAGTGAATTTATTGACGAAAGTTTAGACTACCTAATAATACCCTCAGACAAAACAAAATTTGAGGGTCATGGAGCCAGCGTCGAGGAATAAAGAAATCGGTTCATTCTTGTAAAAAATACCATTGAACGGCGCACACAATTTTATGTGTTTTCATATGTCAAAAGGCCTTGTAAAACGCATCCGACAATAGCGATCACCACATTGGAGTGGCCAGTCCGACCCATTCTAGCTGTTTTCAACCGAATTTTTACTTTGTGGTGACAACCAAAGGTGCCAAGTACAAGCGCCAAAATGACTGAGTATTTTGTTGTATGTACTATCTTCGCGTTGTAATACCCTTTATAATGTACAGTCCCCTGAAGCGGCCGTATTCCCCTACTCCTACCACCACGTACTGTGCAGCGTCCACTCAGCCGGATTAGTCACCCAAGAACATTCCTGTGCCCCTCACTGGAGAAAAATACATAAAAACATACGAAACATTTGCTTACTAAACAGGAATTGTTACGGAACAGGTGGTATTTATAGATGGAAGGAGGAAGTGTTATCTGAAATAGAATCGATCAACCAGAGCTGCTTGAGACACGGCTGAGCTCTAAAAATCGTACTGCAAGCCATGTGGCGATGATGGAACCATATAAATTAAAATTAATCAGCGGCCCTTTATGATGAAGCCCCTTTCTAACGATACCCAAGTACCTTTTTCGTGGGGTGTCTTCTGGGGAAGAATGGTTGATATATACTAACACATTAGCGCTAGTACCAGAGGGTGAATAGGTCATCGGCTGTGGCGAATTTTATGAATGTATACAAGTGATGGTTGTTTGTCTGTTCACTGAGCTAAGCGATCTGAATGCATTATCGTTAGATATTTCAGCTGAACGAACAAACAAACGATCATCTGTGCTACCAGAGCTGACAACATTTCCGTAAATGGGATGATGAGAATATCCCTTACCTGTATGGACACGTATATGCGCTTTCAGGTGGGAACTTTTGAAGTAGGCCTTTTTGCATCCTTCAAATTCACATCTGTGAGTTTTCGCACGGGTCGTAGGAGCGTCCGTTTTCGCTGGAAATGAGTTATTTGCCGGCCACGATAGTCTATCGAGCGGCGGGAAGGATTCGGAAGAAGTGGAGCAGCAGCTGTCAAGGCTACCCTGGAAATGAAAAAAACGCCGTAGAGCGAGCATGAGAAGTTGAGGACGACATAGGGGTGATTGGAGCACAGTTACACCTGACGTCTGTAAAGTGGATAATCGTGCACGCTTTGTGGATTTGTGTGCTACGACCAAGTGGGACCAAAGAAATCAACCGATTTGCTAGTAACTGGTGGGGGAGGTAAATATCACCGATTTCTCTGGAGTCAGCATTTTGTTATGATATGCAGTGTAAAGCAAGTGACTGATGCAGTCACCCTTGTCTTGGGAGCAGAACTGTAAAAGGAACCCTTTTTGATTATCTGTATAAACCTCATCAGTGATTCTAGCGAGAATTTACTGGACCGAGTAACTTGGTCTAGCGGTCTGATAATGATATCATTTGTATTCTTGCTTCATATTGTTTGCAATAGATTATGTGATACAGATTATTGCTAGGCTGTTGCGCAGTTAGCTACAATCACCCCTAGAGACTCTAAACCACTAACATTCACTCCATGAAACCTGTAAAACCATGGTTGTTATTTCAAATTATTCTCCTGGAAAAATGAAATGCACACTTGCGGCAAATAAACAGTAACCAGATTTCACTGTTTGTGTGACTCACCGAAGAGGAAGAAGAAGATAATGCTGAGAACGGATTCATGTAGGCTAAGACTTGTTTACTCGGGAGATTCGTGGAAGGGATAGAATTGCCATGACCCCAGGATTCAAGAGAATTATCGTGACTCCAATACGAGGATTCGGAATGGTCGCTGTGATAATGTGGACTGGGCGAGCTGGGAAGGTGGAAAACCGGTCTGGAAGTCACATCAAATGATGGAGAAATGCGGCCTGACATTTGGGCCATATAAACTTCTGGGCTGAGTGAATCGAAAGAAAGAAGTTGCAGGGATTTCTGTGTTCTATGTAATGTTGTCAGCTGAAATCGATCGGTCAGAGCCGGTTCAGATGTAATGCCAAGCTCCTTGGTTTGCGGGTTGCCCTGACAGGCCATCGTGTTATACAATGTTGATAAGTGCGACGGTCTGATTTGCGATTCAGGATATGTCCAACTGTTACCACGGGGACCCTTAAAAAAGCAAGATGTTAGAAAATATGAATGCTACGACAATAAAGATTTCATATTAGGCCAGGTAGATAACCAGAACAAGAAGAAACGATACTAACCATTAGTAGGAAAAAAGCTTGAAACTGATGAATAGGCTTGTCGATTTTCGATCAAGTATTTAGAAGCGCAGGCGGGAGAAATTCACCTGAGAATTGCATCGACTGACGAGACAACGAAAACTCACATTACGGTGCTTCAATCACCAACAGCAGCTTGGGAAGCTGCAAGTGGTAAAGGTTCGTAATGGAATTTGATGCTATCAGCCTACACTAAACTCAAGGCAGAATCTAACCAATTGGTACTTCCCAAATGACTTCGTAACGGCCCGTTCATACTAACAAATCTATAAATCCAGGGCCATGCAAATAAGTAATGGCTCCCGTTTAATAGAAATAGATATCGTTTCACATCGAAAATCGCTTTTTTATTAAGCACAGCATCCTTCTTCACACAGTCAACCCACAGTCTGGTAATCCAGCAATACTACGAGCACTCAAAACAATCCACAATACTCTTCACTGAGCTCAACAACATTCAGCAGTACGGAACTGTAGGAACATACTCAACGAGATTTTGTACATTTGCCCCGTAATGGCGGAAAGAGAGATGCTAGTAGCCCAAATGAGATGGATACATTCTTCCCAATAGATTGTATAATCCACCGACAACGAAAAGATCCCACCGAATAAAAGCAATGTATAAGCTGTATTTAATAAATCGAGTGCACAAAAGGCCTCTCCAGGTTCATCGGGCAAACGCCCAGGCAAATTTATATGAAATTCGTTGAACAAAAGCGCAACACATGGTTCTCACGTGAGATGAAAGGCTTCAGAGGCCGTTACACGTCTTGTAGGAGGACTGCATTACCGACTACGAGGATGTGAGAGCATTCGTTGGTCGGGTTTTTAATCATACCGTAAGCGGATGTGATCTCAGGCACTTGAGGCCTACCCCAGTCCAATCTGTGTTAGTCGAAGCAACGATATCAATCTCCATTTCATCTGGGAAAGGCTGATCTAAGAAACGAAGACTACGTAGCACGTAACCGACCTTTTCCCGACCAACCTCACTTACACGTCCATCCCAGCTTAATGGCCTTGATGCAAACACCACCGCCACCATACTCACTGTTATCCATAATGACCGTTTACCAATCAGATTGCAGGATAATCTGTATCACTTGTACGACTTGTATGGTATTCGTTTTGAACGATTATCCGTGATAACCGAAAGAGAATTTTGTCAGACGAAATACCGACTACCGCCATGTCTTTAGAAAGGTTCCAAATCTAAATTACGCTGATCCTATGTCGTAACATGGGGACGGCCATCGATCCAGACTGTTTAAAATTGCTAACTCATATTTACGGATGGCTTACTACTCCTATCTAACAGTCCTCTCAGTGCAGATCTGGAAGTGGGCCCACCAGAAGTAGTAGTAGGTCTCGTACCCTGTTCTTTGTTTCACGCTAAGGCCTTCATCGAGGTACGGCAGCACTGATATCGCTGACCTCAGAAATGACATTCTCTTTCAAGTGATCGTAAAGCCATGTACGTCAATTACACGAAACAGGCTGGTGGTTCTCTCCACAAAGGTGAACCTTTATAATATGACCGGTTTCTCGTTCTTAGAAGTTGCTGGAGAGAAGCACCGTATATAAGCCGACAGCAGCCAAAGGCTCCGTTGGAAGTCTTGGGACTGATACTAGTCCGATGGAAAATGAAGTCTCAGAAGACCTCCGTATTGAACGGTGCTCGAGTTACAGCCATTGCCCCGATCAGCCTTGACTCACAATTCAGAATTCTTACCTGGTGTGCCCACTTTGGGTAATCTCACTCACATCCGCTCACCCTTTCTGAAGCGTACACAGCTGCCACTAACAGAGCCAAAGCGGTGGAAAAACTGACAGAGACGTCGTGTTGAATAAACGAATAAAATGACGCACACAATTAGCGTCGGACAACCCAATATGGTACGCTGATCAGTTGTGGTTCACTAAATAAAAATAAAGCTAGAGGCATAAAGCACCCAGATTTCATACTTGAAAAAAGCTCGAAAAACTCTAGGCAAAAGTCAGGAAAACCCTGTTTCCCAATATATATATCGCATGTGCTCATATGATAAGAAATAAAGCTTAGTCGCTCACCACGTTCATTGCATTGTTGCTCTGAACCAAAGGTCTGTTCCAACTGGCGTTGTCCAAACCGTCGAGAGCGCGCCTTGTTCGTTGTCTAAGTTCTCTTCGTACCCGATGGAGTTTGAACTTCATATTTCGATGGAGGGACCGTTCAAGGGCAAGTCGGATTTCTAACCCGACATCTAGATCACTTGACCTACTCCGAGAGTGTATTCGATCAGCCCCTGCGGGTGAACTCTTCGAATGCGTCAGCAAATCAGTTGGGGTTGTACTGTCGTGATAGTATAGGACCATTTTCTACAAAAAGATCCATTTAAATCTGTCAGAATCGTTTTGATAAATTGATGGGAAAAACAATAAATTATTCCGTGAAATGACAGTTGTCCGAATGCGACCTGGAGATAGTAATTTTGTTTCAAATTATTTGTAGAGGAGACAGTGCTACTCTTCAATTTAAGCTGCATAGATATCATACGACAAAGTCCCGGCCTAATGAGTACTTAGTGTTTGTATATCATGACAACAGTTCTTTCCCGCTGGAAGGATCGCCCAAGGGGCCTGTTCAAAGAGGTGGTCACTTCCGGGTGCACTGTTGAGTTACGAATCAGAAATGGTTCCTTCTATGGGTATTACCTCCAGTGAAAGGCAAGTCAAACTAGATCATCCATTCGTATTTATCCATGCAAGAACGTGCTGCTGCTCATTGAAACATTGCTGGGGTAAGTGGCTTTTCGATACTTATTCGTATAGCCATCCGACCTTATTTCCTGGATACATTATACGCTGGACAACATCTTGAAGCAGTCTATCTTGGAATAGTAAGACGGTGAAGTGGCTTGCAAGTATTAACATAGGTTTTCGGAAGAAGCGTCGTACTGGAATTGATCACTCACTTTCTCCAGAATTAGTGGAATAAGCAGGTAAGGATACACCCACCAAGTATAGCGAAACTAATGAGGGCGACAGGCCAGCGATGGAAACCAGATGACAGTGAAATTGCTTATATATGTTCTGATCGAGCGACGTACAATCTGAAACGTGTGAAGATTCGGCGACCAATCGCCAGGCCGTGGCAATGATAAACTATCCAATCAGCTGGTCGACAGCTGGTAATCATGCTTTGCCTGAGTGACAAGGCGCTATCAGCGTGGCGTGACCTAGAAAGTCTCAAGGCCACTACAATTCAGGCAACTGCGTGGCTGAACTAGGATTGGTTGGCATACGTGGGTGTGTCGAATCGTTCGCATGCATCGCTGTCGTGATAGCTCAGTACTAGTGCCGCGGCCCCATGGTCATGCGTGGTCGTATCATGCTGGCCAGAAATAGGTCAGCGTGAGTCGCCTCGGTTTGCTAAGCATCTGCCAAAATCGCGCTCTTCACTTGATTTTGAGTCGGTGTGCTCATTATTGGTTATTGGAATTGGTCGTCTTGATCAAGATTAGTCCCAATGTTAAAAGATGTAACATTCATTGCACAGTACTTTCAATTACTTTCAAATAATAGAAGTACCACTTACGTATGCATGTTACGTGAATGTTCCGTTTAGGACGCGGCGTTCTAGTAATATAATGTAATATTCCATGTGTCCAAGCTTCTCAGGTAATCTTCCCCATGGATGTCAGTTCGTGGGCTGAAGAGTAGAATAGGGTTTGGGGTGGACGCTCTCTGGTATAAAATGAAGGGTCTGTCCGATGCAGCAGTTAGGGTTATCTGGGGTCGTCTTTTCGACTGGTCACCAACAGGCGTCCATTCATTCGTGAAGACAGACTTACCTAAATGGATGAGTGCTGGCACCATCACTACGGTTCACTAGTTGGTTTGGAATGGATCTTAGTGTTCTGTACATGAATCCAATGTATGCTGAAAAGTCCGGAAGCCCTGTTTTCACAACTATTGCACATCTCACGAAACTCCAACCAAGCCACGGTCTCTTGGCTAGTAGTTTGAACACTTAACCATTCGACGATGAGTGGCAGCAGTGTGATTAACTCGCATCTATACGGGATATATTCCCTCTCATGCTACTAGCTCATCTGTAGTTAAATAGCACTTTGAGTGCTCACTCTGGCTCTGATCCGCAGGCTGCTTCTTTCAACGCATGTGGTTGAAATGCAGATAAAGTTGGCTCTAGAAGTGGGATCCAATCAACAGGAGCTAATACTTTTCTAGTTCGTTTTATTTTAGCCCCCTTTTTGCTGGATTGGTTGACAAGTTGCCCACTTTTCACCAAAGTCATGTAGCCAGTTTGTTACTCAGATAATGGTGGTGGCTTTAGCAGACGACTAAATTTGCTGTTCTGCTGAAAGGTGCATTTTTATGGAAGCGAGTGTTTAAAATCCAGCATCAATATCAGAAGAACTGCAGTGATATATAGATTAGTTACTTCACATTTCTACAGCCTCTGTTCATGAATGACAGCACAGCTTATGCCTGCGACGTTTGGTGTTACAGACTACCTGACCATCGGCTTCATCCTTCCGGCTTATCATGGCTAGAAGTTGGTGAGGTAGATGATGATAGACCTAACTGTGAGCGTGTTCTCATACGTTGACTGTTTAGTTTCGGTACCTATCATGAACATTTTTCCTGAATGGGCGGTGTCAGTGCCGCAATTTTGAAGCGGAAAGAAGAAAGCGAATTCACAAAATTGCAACTTGGGTCTGTACACAGAGTAACAGGCAACTTTAATCACTTGCCAAACGCAAATCGAGACAGCCAGTGGAAATACAAGTGTAATAAGCGATAAACACCCGGGGTAAAGTCCCAGCATGGCAGTGATTTTTCGAGCTGTAGACCGCAGTATGACCAACTATTTTCACTTCGGGTCGTCCTGAGGTGTAGTTTGACTAAATGGCCAACAAGTCGGGAGGTCTCGAGTTTGAGAGATATCAAATTGATAATTGAACTTTTCCTAATACTATGCGGAATTGTATGGTGAACTCAAAAGTGCCTGAGTTTCAAGTACAAACTAATCAACTAGACAGCTCCCTCAGTAATAATACACACCATGAAAATCATGGTTCGTTCTTCAAAAGGACGAGTTACATTGAAGGGCAATTAAGCCGTCCTGAAGAAGCCACAGAGAGCGATGAAGAATTCTACGAGCATGTCTGAGGGAAGCGCTATGAGGTTAGGTTATGAACACAGTCAACCATCCGATCTTGATGTATGCCCGAGAAACATGTTCAAAGGTAGGCACACCTGGATGTCTTTTATCAGTGGTAATGCCCTCACTATCAGTGGCAAGAGATGATAACCGGAGAGATGCCATGATCTACCACACATATCTCACCTCCTTCTACAACGTCGTCTGCATCGCTTGTCATTTATTGTGCAGGAAAGATGCCGGAACCACTGAACAAACCTTGGCCGCAGCATTATGTGAAGGGCAACTGAGAACTTGACTCAGTACGGTTGACAGCGAAATGGAACAACTGGGACTTCATGTGTTCCACGGAGTCTGTCACTGGCGCAGACACTGGGTCGCGGTTGTGTAGATCTGAGAGCCGATTGCTGCGACTAGACATCTTGTATTCGAGACGATTCTGGAGCTGTCTTGTCCTGCCTCTGGAGATAGTCATCTGACATTAACTCATGTTACAATTTTCCCATTGCACTTAATCATGCTGGAGCATGGTCATGGAAGGCCTGCAAAAAGCCTCAAGAGAATACCCCCCTATAAGGGGGTATTTCTGTGCATAAGAATTCGCAACACGCATACAAATGCGACTGAAGGACATATGGACTATCTTCGGGAAACGGCGCTTGAAAAGTTCTGCGGTTTTATTCATTTCTGTGATACAGTAGGCACCAAATCAATTACCGCTACAAACTTTACAGCAGTTCACCCAATGTTCCACAGTATCTTTCCCCGTGAACATATGAAACTCATTCCACCTTTGACAGACAGCTACATCGCATTTCTTATTATGTGATCACCTAAGGATTAGGGAAATCCCGCTAGTTTACTAGCCACACAAGTGAGTTTTCATCGATTGATTGAGATCAAAATACATTTGGGTGTTCTCAGAGCCGACTGAGCAGCTGAGCCCGCACTCCTTCATTAAAGATAATTGCACCATGCCACAAGACCACCATTTTTGCGAAATTATAAGTTGACAAACTCAGACATCGTGTCAGTAATGAACACTGCTAGATTTAACCTTAGCTTTGAGACAACCTGGTTCACCACAGCCAGACAAAAATAATTGATCCTGAGAAAGAATATTCATACTTCCAGAGGCTTAACGAAGGTGGTCCCTATTTCTTTTGAGCAGGACTGAATTTGCCGGATTTCTCCGCCTCCCACTGGCTGTGCGATTTTGCACATCAATCCGATGGTAAGTTTTGCGGTGCCGAGGAACAAAGTGGTCATTTTAAATCTTTGAGACACGGTTACGAACCGTTAGAGACACACGTGCATAAGAGCTTACTGGGCTATCGCTGGTTTACACAAGTTCAGCTTTTCTCCAATGTCACCCACTTCCCATAGTAGATAACATTTCCGTAGAACTTTTTAAATTCAACTGATGTTCTGCAACTTAGTCTTGAATGCTGTAAACCAAAGATTCACTGGTAGCTGTCATCATTTGATTGTGGAAAAGACACTGAACGTCCGGGACTCTTGATCAAACACAACTAGTTTGTTGTGAACCGATGTATGATTTCGGCTGACAACTCCATGAAGACGTATAACCACAAAGCTCCGAGCGAGACGATATAAAAACTAACTGTAGCAGGTCGGATCGATGGGAAACCAAACCTCTACGCGACATTCCACCTAGGGACTGGGTTCCTAAAGCACAGAAAGACCGGAAACCTTATGCTGTGGATTCGCCTTGGTTAATCTGTCAGAGAAATTAGTGGGAGTTGTGATAAAGCTGACACCACCTGTAAATGGAGGAATGTCATTAACAGCTAAAACGAGGAACACGCAGTAAGTATCAGTCCATGATTGGTTTCCGATCTAATTATCTCAGATCTCTAAATATCCTGATCACGGTTGTCTGTTGGGTTACATTGTGTCAGGCACTCAGTTTTCATCGCTAATCCATCAAGGTTATGTGTGCGCGCCTAATGAACTTGACGCCAAGTGCACCGGTCTTGATTGACCCATCTAGGCTTCAGTTAGCTGACCATCATGTCACATCAGCTCAATCGAATTTGACCTGATGTAATGACCAGCGGAAAAAACGGACTGTGTAGTCAGCGATACGCAGTACAAAAATAGCACGCAGTACTAAATACGTCCTACCTACTTATAAGAATTTTCAAACCTTGCGTTTAATCCGCAGCATGATCTGACCATGATATGTTCATACGCATATAAAACATCTTCACCTGGAGTGTGAGTGTGGGTAAAGTTATGGTTAAGAAATAACACTGCAGCCACCTAGTCAACGTATATATTTCCTGTGACAAGCTTACACGACCACATATTTTCCAAGAAAAAGGTTGCAAAAAGCCCGTGTGCTAAATGTGTATCCCCATTGAATATCAAAAGCCTTACTAGGGAAGACTTTATTAAAAAAAACTGTCTGTGAGGGAAGTATACGCCTGTATGCTTCGTTACCAGTGAAAGGAAGGAGGCCTTCGCTGCGGAATTATTTATCAGAAAATGCCAACTGACCAGCTACAGAGGAGCAAAACTCTCATCTGCATCTTATTTACAAAGACTGAACATCCATCTTCTCTTGAACGCGTCTTCCTGAACTTTCCTGGATACTCATTGACTGTTGCTCGAATCCAAGCAAATACTACAAAGCGACTCCACAAATTCCGCAATAGATATCCCTTTTCAAGGGACGCAAAGCGAATTTACAATAGAAATGTACTACTCTCACGTCTCCCTCATCAATAGTATCACCGTTACACCAGTAGTGTGAAAAAGAATAATCTCCGCGTGGACATCAAACCTATGCGCCCGGAGATTGATTGAAACTGCATAAACTATGCGTCTTCATG